TCATCTAGGTCAATGGCCCAGACCATGGCACCTCCAAATTTGTTCTGCTTAAGCCACTGAGCCTGTGTAAGGACAGAGGACAACAGGAGTCCTTGGATTCCCTAGGGTTCCATGCTGGATCACCACATAGCTGAGGGCTGACCTTACCTTGATATTGAAGCTCTTGATGTTGTCATAGCTAATCCAGTCATTGCCCTGATAGGCATAGGGCACCTCTTGAAGGGCATCCCATTCTTGAGTGGCCCCATTTTTCAGAAATTTGCAGATCTTAAATAATTCAACAGATTCAAATATTTAAAATATTTATTCCCATGGGGGAAAATTGTACACTTATTCATTTTATTTTTGTTCCCTTTCTTGTGTCTATTTGGGTTTTCCTCAATTACCTATCTATGGTAAGGAAGCTCAAGTTGTGTTTCAGATATTCATATGTTGTCCCCATTCTGCAAGCTTGATTGGAGCAATCAACAGTAAAATGAGGGATGCATTTATTTTATTCTTTGTGTGCTAGTGTAAATGACATTAAGTCTATTGCTTGAAGAGATATTTATTACTAAGTGGGTTAAGTTATTAAGTATGCTATTAAAATCGTTTAAGAATTTGGAGTAACACTGCTCAGAGCAAGTAGGTACTAGACAGAAAGAACATTCATGATTTCATTATATTTTAGCTCTAAAACCTACTACTGTTCAGCACCGTGCACAAATTCACAGAGAACTGTGTAGAACAAACTACCCACCTCATAGTAGGACTTGAACCCAATATCCCTGGTGTAGGGCCCAGCAGGGCCAGCACCAGAAGTAGGGGCACCAATTCCATTGTCAGAAGGGTTTCTCAGAAGGAAGTTGCGTCCATAAGTTGGGAATCCAACGATGAGCTTTTCAGCTGAGGCCCCATTGTCCCTCCAGTACTTCATGACATAATCCTGAAATGGCACTTGGGTTAGTTACAGGATCCAACCAGCTGAGGACCCAAGGCTTAGTTATGTTAGTTCTCTGTTCTATAAAATTGCATGAGATTAATGACTGAAGGGTTAGTGTTCTTCCCAAAATATTTTGATGAAATGTAGTTGAGATATGATCAATATCATGAGGACTTTGTCTAAGTGACACATTTATGGAATTCACTCTGATTTTGTGCCTGAATCTCCATGTGATTTCCATTCACCTCTGATCTGCAGTTGCATCTGTGCAGAGACTTACCACATTGAGGTAGAAACTGTAGCCAGTTTCAGTGCCGTATTTGTAGAGGGGGTTGTTATGTCCAGTGCGGCCATCCCAGGGGCCATGGAGATTGTAGGTTATGACATGGATGTAGTCCAGGTACCTGAGGTGGGGTAAATGACTTAAAACACTCTCCAGTAGTCATTTCCCATACCGGTGCAGACAGAAGACACCTCTCCAAAGCCTCCTAAACAAAGTCCCTCGACAACAACACAGACCAAGAACAACGGTACTCTGCCTCAAGGACAGCTATAGGAGTTTGAGATAGGTACATCACTCACTGAGAGATATTTGATATCTCATAGCCAGATTCAATGGTGGATATGCCATCTGCAACTGCAGCAGTGATCAACAGCCTGGACTTATTGTTCTTCTTGGCCTCTTCCTCAAAAGCTTCACGAATTTCCTACAGAATAATAAGATACATTAGGTCACATATGAGCTGATTTCCACTCCTTAACTGTCAATCAAAGTATATTTACATACATTTTTCTTTTTCTAACTGTTTCACATATTTTGTCTTAATTTATTCTATCAACATTCCTGATCAAGTTTGATAGGTTAGATGGTATTAATCAACTTTATAGACATCTAATATCCATAGCATTAGACAATTTTTTCAAGTACCACAGCAAGTTAGTAGCCAGTTCAAGACCACAAGCCAGGTTTTAGGTGACTAGTTGGAGCTTCAGGTGAGAAGATACAGTTGTTGTATTAACCTGTCTCCTGTTTTTAGCAGTATAGAAATTGGCTTCCATTTGTTCTATGGGTGAACTACCTATAAGACTGACACCCCGTCAAATGAAATGCTGAATTGGCCAATCAGAAAGGTGGTAACTGCCACATGAGAGACCCCCATTCAGTTCTAGAGACTTTTCACCTCTATTTTGTGTGACTCTAATCTAATTTGCAGTACTGAGCTCAGCTCTAATAATTGCATTATGTGGGTGTGCCAGAGTGTATTCCAGAGGAGTTTCTCTGAAAATTGCTATTGGTTGAAGGAACCAGGACAGTTAACTGGAAGAAAAAAAAATTGTAGGCAGGATTTTATTGCTGTCTTGAAGTTTTGAACCCATGTATGGCAAATCGTGATGTTTTGTTCTTTGTTGTTTCAGTGGGCAGACCACTGAACTGAAAACCTGATGACTGAACATTATACTATATGACTCGAGGCATGTTCCAGCTAAGAAGAAAGATGCTAGCTCTGATCATCAGACCTGTGTAATGAATAAGTAAACTGACTTTAGGTAGTGAGCTATGTAACACTGAAACTCTTCACAATATGGCTGACAATCTGATATATGGAGTAAAAACGTCGTTTGGGAGAGATTAAATCTCCAAAGCATGCTTAGTCCCCGACTTTCATCATTCCAGTCATTTTCTTGGTGATCATCTACCCTTGCTGATGGCTTTGGCACACTCTATCACATCTTTGCCCTGCACTCCAGATAGGTGTTCTTCCAACACCAGCTGGGCATTCCAGATACCTCCCACTCTTGTTAATCAGTCCTTGTTCTTACTGCAAATCTAAGCTTCTCCCTGTAGTTACCATCTTAGATAATAGCACCACAATCAAACCAGTCCTCAAAGCAGAAAACTGGGAATTCTATTATGCATCTACTTGTGGTTCGTCCCTAATTCCGGTTGATTTCATCATCTTTACACACCTTGAATACAGCCTTCTTCCCTGGGTGTCCAGACATTGTTGGGCATTCCTCATCTCCTCCTTTGTTCCCTTCAACAGGTGCCTAACCCTGTCCCTTCCACCTCGCCTCCTTCCCCTTCATCCTCCAGGGTTAAAGCCAGAGCAGCCTTTCCCAAGCTCATTTGTATTATATTTCTTTACTATTTAAAATCCTTCAAAGCTACCCCATTGCCTTGAGGGTAAACTCCAATTCTTTATATTAATATGAAGTCCCCACATGATCTGACTCTGGGCATCTGTGCAGCCTCACAGTCCAGCACTCACCACTGGCCCACATGAGTCTCCATGTCTTCATTTCTGCCTGCCCTATGCTCACTTAGTTGGCTTACATGGGTTTTGTTTTGTTTTAAAGGAAGCATCACTTTATCTAGGAAGAGCTTTCTGATTTGGGGTCCAGAGCAGACTTAGGCAGACTCTCTCTGTTACTTTTACACTCTGTGGAAGTTTATCATGGCATTTTCAAAATTACTGTAATTGTTGGTTAGGTTTAAGTCTTCCACCTCAGATTCTGTGGGCTTTAAAGCCAAGAGCATGTTTGTGCTCAGTAATAAAAGGCAGCTTAATCTACTATGACTCTTAAAAGTGGTGGACTCTCTAGCCCCAGGATGTAGGTGTTTATGACACGAGTTGTATGATCTTGGACAAGTTTCTTATAACCTCTCTATGTCTTAGTTGCTCATCTGTAAAATAAATATTATCATAGTTATAGTATCTGTATTGTAGAGTAAGGTGATGATGAAAAGAATTATGATCTTAACACATGATATAGGGGAATGTCTGGCACCTATTGCCCATGCAGTTAATGTTATTAAAAGCCATTGACATATGAATGCATGACATCTAGGAATCTTTGCAATGCTAAAATCTTATAATTCTAAATTAAGGTTTAGCTTCTTTAGGCATCTATCCAATTCTCCTTGGAAACAAAAGATTTCAATTATCTAGGGGCTAAAGACTATTTCTCCCTTCCCCACCTGCACCAGGACCGTGAAGAGATGCTTATCTTGAGGGGGGCTTCCACAAGATCCAGGGAACTTCCAGTCCAAGTCCAGCCCGTCAAACCCGTACTGCCGCAGGAATGGGATGACCGATGTAATGAAAGTCTGGTGGTTCTCAGGAGTGGAAACCATGGTGGAGAAACTGAGGGAGACACCAAAAAAGCAGGATATGGCCTCATGGTCTCAACACGTTGTAACATAAAAAGTAGATTCCTCAATTTCTGCCTCAGCCTTTCACCAGGACCCCTATCCCAGAGGCATGCATGTTCCTGGGCATTCTTTGTCACCACTACTCTTCCAAGCTGTGGTGTCTCAGTGTTCCCTTTATAATGTTATACTCTTGCTCTAATCTTTCTCTCAAACTGTCCTTGATGCTTTGAATACCTGGATGTTCAGCTCACTGTGTTCTATGTCTAAATAGGTCCCCAAATTATTGTGTCGTAAAAGGAGTCTTCTTGCTTATGTGCATCACTTTCTCTTTTCTTCTCCCAAAAGACAAATAGAAGTTCTACAAGATTTTCCTCAGGTCTGTACTATTGGAAGATCATTATGGAAGCAGATAACTAAACCTATGGATAGGATCCCAGAATATCCAACCAAATTTAAATATATGAAATTAAGTATGTTCTACTTAATAAATATTGAAGTTCTGGGAGAGTAAGCTATCAAGTTAGCATATTTGCTCAATGTGCATCCTTTAGTCCCTGCCTTAGATTTGAAGCTTAAAGGAACAGAGATCACATTGGGCTAACTTGTTCCAATAATAAATGAATAACAGGCTCTTCAGAGAGGACTTACAGGGCAGTTCCAAAGTTCCAGCCTCCAATGGCCAGGAGAGTTTTCAGTTGGCTGTTCCTTTAAAGCAAAAGACAAAAAAATAAAAGGAAAGAGAAATTTCAAAATACAGAAGTGCCTCTTTTAAAATAACATTATTGTTTTTAGTATGGGTCTTGCTCCTATTCTCTGATTACTATATAGAACACTTTTCCTCTAGTACTGAATACTTTCTTCAGAAAATTTCTTCATGTTGTTATCATCATAAATGTGCTCAGGGTTCCTAAAGGAAATCTAAACTATGAAGTGT